TGTTGTGTTGCTCTGTTGGAGGACCCTGTGACCTAAGATGTTCATTGACATAACTACACTGTAGCTATGTACAGTACGAATGACAATAAAAGCCATGTCTCTGACTGGTTTCTCTGACTCTCTGTCTTGTCTCTGACTGGTTTCTCTGACTTGTCTCTGACTGGTTTCTCTGACTCTCTGTCTTGTCTCTGACTGGTTTCTCTGACTTCTCTGACTGGTTCTCTGACTCTCTGTCTTGTCTCTGACTGGTTTCTCTACTCTCTTTGTTCTCTGACTCTCTGTCTTGTCTCTGACTGGTTTCTCTGACTCTCTGTCTTGTCTCTCACTGGTTTCTCTGACTCTCTGTCTTGTCTCTGACTGGTTTCTCTGACTCTCTGTCTTGTCTCTGACTGGTTTCTCTGACTCTCTCCTCCTGTGTTTGCAGTGTTGTCGGACAGACAGGAGAGCGCTCTGATAGAGCTCATGGTGTGCACCCTCCGTCAGGCAGCAGAGGCTCACCCACCGGTCGGCAGAGGCACCGGCAAACGGGTAGGTCGAGTATACACACTGTACTACCAGCATTCACTTCAACTTTACACATATTGACACAGTTGGGTTGAGGTAGCAGTCCGATGCTGTTGTCCTTGGTTACAAAATAAATGTAGATGTCTTAATATGCCAATTTCAAAGAATAGATTTTCACATGACTTCTTTCTGTTTTCAGTGTTTCAGAGTAATAACATTCCCCCCCCTTGGTTCGGACACCTTCTGTGTTGTTTTATTTATAATCCTTATATACCTTTATTGTTTATATTTACTGTTTACTCAGCATGCACTCGAATTCATTCATAGATTAATTCAGCGTTAAATTGACACAATTTCTAAAAAACACCACCTGTGTGTAACCGCCTTAAGTGTTCAATTCAAGTGCTCAACATTGAAATTAAAACAGCTAGATATCTAACGGAGTGTGTTTATTTATGTATTTTCTTAATGTTTTATTTATTGTCAGCAAGCCTCGGCACATTTATGAATACATGCTGAGATTGCAAAACAGACGTATTTGTTCTATCCATGAATAACTTTCTTGGTCACAATGAAAGAACAGCAGACTCCCTGTTTATTTCCCTTTTTCATGCATTTTTTTACACATTTGACATTCTGCTCGTCCAGGTGTTGACAGCGAAGGAGAGGAAGACGCAGATAGACGATAAGAACAAACTGACAGAGCACTACATCATGGCGCTGCCCATGCTGCTGTCCAAGGTAAAACCTCATCCTGCAGCAGACACTGATTAGTGACTGATCTGTTTGTCGAAATAATTGATCAGGGTGTTATTTATATAGCCATGAGAAGTGTTATTGAATGAAAGCCAATCCGGAGAGGTGTGCTGGCCAACTGCTTGTGTGTTTTATTAACTGGGAAAGAAAAAAAGAGATTGATTGTTTTTTCTGCCTCTGAATGTCGGCTTGTGACTTTTTTTTATCTCAGCATCACAGATATCTATTTCTTAGCTTTTCTGTATTTTTTTTACAATGTGCTAACTTATCTGATGCACTAGTAGCGGTGCTTCTGGAATAATTCACATTGTCAGGACGCTTATCTGATTCATTATGTAATTAGATTCAGTCTTTTACAAAAAGCACCTCAAAGCTTTATCTTAAGATGAAAAGTTGAAAAAATTGTAAAACTCTGTGTTTCCTGAAAACTCATTTGACCTTAAAAGAGATATATAACTATGCTACAGAAGGCTTTTTTATGAAGTATCATAAGCTATACATCATATTGATTACATTACAGTACATTGTGCTGAGGCTTTGATCCAAAGCGACTTACAATAAGTTCATTGTCAGTCGAGAAACAAACTCAAAAGCAAGAATCCTGCAGGTACATCTCCTATCTATAAACCCAACCAGATTAAGTGCCACTGCATTAGCTTCACTTAAAGCCAAACCTACGTACAGAAGATAATGTTTCTTGTTAAATTATTATTATTATTATTATTAGCAAAGATTCAATTCAATTCAAATGTATTTATTAGGGATGCCAGTGATTATTCGATTATTCGAATATTCGTTACAGTCTCCATATTTATTTATATATATTTTTTTTTCTGGCTTAGTTTCAACCAAAATATAGACTAATGCTAATAATAGAAATAGTATTGATAATTGTAAATTGCCATTGGTCACACCACCAGTTTGTTTTACTGTAAACTTGGAGGAAGCCTGTGCAGAGCCGCCCCCTCTGTCTTGTCTCTGACTGGTTTCTCTGACTCTCTGTCTTGTCTCTGACTGGTTTCTCTGACTCTCTGTCTTGTCTCTGACTGGTCTCTCTGACTCTCTGTCTTGCCTCTGACTGGTCTTTCTGACTCTCTGTCTTGTCTCTCACTGGTTTCTCTGACTCTCTGTGTTGTCTCTGACTGGTTTCTNGCCATTGGTCACACCACCAGTTTGTTTTACTGTAAACTTGGAGGAAGCCTGTGTGCAGAGTAGACCCCGCCCCGGGTGGGGGGGGTCGGTCGAATAATCGATTATTATTCGCCAGGGCTGCCGAATAATCGATTTTGATCATGGTCAGTTTCTGGCAACCCTAGTATCAGCCCAATATCACAAAACACATTTGTCTCAGAGCGCTTCAGAAATCAACAAACATGAATGATAATTTAAGATGCAGAGGAAACAAGTGAGTTCTCAGCAGGGCCGTTTCTAGCTTTTTGGGGGCCCTATGCAAGATGCTGTTCGGGGGCCCTTTTTCTTCAAACTACAATGGGGGGATTCCGAAGCCTTTAAGATGATCTGTGGAGATTCTTCAATCTGTTACACTTTAAGAGGAAAACAGGCTAATTTCACGAAAACCAAGCAATTGAAACTTACAACAAATGATATTAAAAAGGTAAACAATAAGGCTCCCCGACGTCAATAAATGCAAGAGATGCAGCATTTTCTCAACAACGTTTAGTATACCTTTTTCATTTTCCTCAGACGCCACTCATTGGGTGACAGCCCAGTAATGATTTGGACGTTATTACCCCACAAACACAAGCCACAGCTTTGCTATCATTGCAGTTTAGTTGTGTTTATATCCTACATTGGATTTTTAAGCTTATAATGCTTCACCGAGCACAGGAGGGGGCTTGGCTGTCTACAAATAAAGACGGCTAATTGGATTTCTCCCAAAATATATTGAGGCTGAACCTGAACTTTCAGCTTGGGGGCCCCCTAGTGGCCGTGGGGGCCCTATGCATCCGCATAGTCCGCCTATAGGAAGAAATGGCCCTGGTTTTCAGTCTGTGATGGAAGGTGTGTAGACTCTCTGATGTCCTGATTCTCACCTCTCCATCTCCTCACAGTACCAGGCGGACTCAGAGAAGGTGGCCAACCTGCTGCAGATCCCTCAGTTCTTCGACCTGGACGTGTACAGCGCGGGGCGGATGGAGAAGCACCTGGACGCCCTGCTGAAGCAGATCCGCTTGGTGGTGGAGAAGCACATCGAGATGGACGTGCTGGAGGCCTGCAGCAAGACCTACAGCATCCTCTGCTCCGAGGAGTACACCATCATGAACCGCGTGGACATCGCCCGCTCGCAGCTCATCGACGAGATGACCGACCGCTTCTCTCACTCTGTGGAGGATCTGCTGCAGGAGGTATGAGTGGATGTGGATATGGGGAGGTATGAGGGAAGAGAAGCAGGGGTTGGTGACTGGTGAAAGAAAGGATGCAGGTGTAAAAGTAAGCACTTGATGTCTTTGAAATGAAGCCGCAAGATGCACAGGAAGTGTGGACAGTTAGAGGTATGGAATCTTTAAGTATAAAGGTAGTAACACATAACTAGGGATGCCTGATATGATTTTTTATTATCTGATATAATGAACCATTCATTAGATATTTAATCCATCATTTCACATTTTGGTGAAATTCTCTTCAGAGAATATGAGAGTGATCAAAGAGAATTTATGATCGCAAAGCTCTGACCTAACCAAATGCAATTGACATTACTATTGTTAACAAAACACTTCACACTGGCTAACATGCTAATTTTAATTATATTTTATTCACCTAAATTTGTGGACTAAACCATTTTGAAGGTGCTTGTTATGTCAATGAAAGACAATTATAATAATATTTAATTTAATAATATAACATTTCCCATAATTCATCAGACCAATTTATATCCAGCATCCTCGCATATGACCCCAGCATCCGTAGTCTTTGTGCACTAACAGGTGTTTGTTATTCTGCAGGCGGAGGAGGCCGATGACGACGATATCTACAACGTTTTATCAACGCTCAAGAGACTCACAGCCTTCCACAAGTAAGAGAAGAGAAACTGTAATGTTAACTGACTGAAAGCACTGGATATCACTTCATTAAAGCTAAATGCCAGATACTCTATGAATGTGATTTATTGACCTCTTGTTTCCTGTTTCAGCGCCCATGACCTGACACGGTGGGATTTATTTGGGAGCTGCTACCGGCTGCTGAAGGCGGGCATCGAGCAGGGCTCCATGCCGGAGCAGATCGCCGTGCAGGCCCTGCAGTGCTCGCACTACTCCGTCCTCTGGCAGCTGGTGAAGGTCACAGAGGGCTCTCCCAGCAAGGTGACACATGGATCCTGAATAATACTTAGCTGTAGATACATGTTCTGTCCTTAGCTAATCAGTTATTTGACCAGAGGTGGGAAGTAGTGGGGTACAAATACTTTGTTACTGTACTTCAGTACATTTTTCTGGTATCAGTACTTTACTCCACTACTTATTTTATTTCCACCTTTATTTCAAACAGATTATTTACAAATAGAATACTGTATTGGTAGAACACAACACTTTTTGTGTCAAACAATATTTATATATTCAACAAAAATAATAATAATTAATCATAAGTGTCCGAAAAGGAGCGGGAGGAAGCATAATGTTTAATAAGATATTTACTAAGGCAAAATCGAATTTTCAACCTTTCGAGCCCTTCGTGGCAAAAATGTACACGCCCATAATAACTGCTATTAAATCATCATACATCAATATTTTTTTCTACTTTTTTTTTCATGAATCACTTGAACAACTTATAACGTACTCAAAACTACCAAACATTCAATAATGTTCTGGATTTTAAGCCTTTAAATGCCTGTTTCATTATTTGAATTATCTCATTATTTATGACAAAAAAAAACATTTCAATATAATAATTAGTAGGGGCATGGAACTTTGGTGGTTATTAGAGTCTTGGATGTGTCAAAGATTAGCAACAAAATTGATTTGACTGCATTATTATTTTTTACGTAGTGTCAGATAGTAGCTCTGGACACCTTCGTGGCAAAAATGTACACGCCCCAAACAACTGTTATAGAGTTATCAGTTGACTAAATGATATCATTTAAGTTCATTTAGCCATGAAACATGTAGCCTGACTGATGCTGCTGTTTAATATTGTGTGTGTGTGTGTGTGTGTGTGTGTGTGTGTGTGTGTGTGTGTGTGTGTGTGTGTGTGTGTGTGTGTGTGTGTGTGTGTGTGTGTGTGTGTGCAGGATGACATGTTGGCTCTCAGGAGAGTGGTGAAGTCGTTCCTGGCTGTGTGCCAGCAGTGCCTGTCCAACGTCAACACAATGGTCAAAGAGCAGGTAACAAAACACATCTGAAACAAGCTGCGCACACCTTTAGTGAAGAATAGATGTGTCTTGAGAACAGGTGAACAATTTAAAATTATAAACAGTGTACAGCTTTCATTACAATTCATCAAGTCAAAGTCAACTTAATTGTCAATCTGTCAGTTGTGTGTACAGATAGAGAGATCGAAATACCGTTTCCCACAAACCCAAATACAAAAATACAAATATGTATATCCTACAGTATATATACACAATCAACAGACACAATACATATGCACACATTAAGATACACAACAATCAATATACAAAATACCAGTCACTTCAATATCTTTGGGAATATACATTAGTGCAAGACACGACTGTCACAGTTTGTGATATGATATGACAATTTGAGGTTTGATATGTAATCCTGGAGAGGATATAGACTAAATAATTGTAGTGTTCAAAAAATCATTGAAATGTTTCCCTGTATTTTCTTCTGTCATTTTTCATATTTTGACATTTGTTGTTGAGTTAATCTGGAAAATAGTTTTTTGTTTCAATGGTTTTCAAATTTATTTTTTTCCCCATTTTTTAATGCTCAAAGGTTAGGTAATAGTAAGGGAATATGTAGAATAGACAGTAATAATAATAATAGATTACATTTGTATAGCACCTTTCAAGGCACCCAAGGCGGCTTTACATGGTGAACAAACAAACAAACAAACAAACAAGGGCAAATAATAAAGTAA